TGATGGAGCTGGGGGATCCTGGGGGAGCACAGATCTCAGTTAAAATACTCAAAGCTCATTTCCAGTTAGTGCCCACCCAGCTGCTCTGCACACGAGGGTGTCCTTCCTCAGGCAGAAGTGTTTGGGGGCAAGTGGAGATGAACTTTTGTTGATTTTTTTGTTCCTGTTTGGAAGCTTAACACTGTGACAGCAGCTCCAGATCAGCATCTTGGCACTCAGTTCTGCTTGGACATCTGTTGCCAAAAAAGCAAATATTTAGAGGAGGGAGAAGATGTAGCCAAGGATGGTGGATTTCAGCACATACTGAGATAAGAAAAGGGCACGAGTGGTCACTGACACGTGTTGTAGTAGGCAAAACATGCAGAGAATGTTTTACCTTATGAGAACAGAGCCTTCTGATGTGCATTGAAGTTGGACATCCAGAAGCTGAAGAATCAGCTGTATTAAACTGTATTTCTTAGGTCAGTATTTATAGAGCCTGACATTTTAAGTGCAGTCTTTGTTTTAAGACAGCCATGAAGTAAAGAGAAGCTTTCGTCTTCTCACAGAAGCTTCATGAAGCTTGTAGTTGCCAGTTTGGTTGGGATAGTGTTACTTTAATAAAGTTTATTTTTTTTAAATGTAGTTGCTGAGGCCATTCAAAACCAGCAGATTCTGGAATGTTTTCCTGCTGAGTCACTGCTTATTCTGGGAAACTCTGAAGGGAGAGATACTGGATGTGGGAGACTAATGCTTTTAAATCTACTCATAATTAATAATGGTTGGAACTTTCCCATGACACTGCAGCTTCTTTAGAATTAGCCTGATGTGTTGGAATGCAGATATCAATTCTGTTGCCTAACAGCTGTACCCCAATGCCTTCACAGGTGGGGATGGTTACTGCGAATAAGGTTTGTACTCACTCACAGAGCCTGCAGCTCAACTGCTCCTGTTTGTAGCTTGAGTTCAGACGTGTGCTTGGAACTGTGCTCTGTGCCCTGTGTCCTCACCCTGTGTAGGAACTGTGCTCTGCCAGCTCTGTACCTCATCCCTCCATAGCATTCTGCCTGCAGGAGGGTTTGGGGCTCTGCTGCTCAGCTCTGATAGGGCTGTGGACATTCAGTTATTCCTTAGGTCCCTGGAGAGAATTCACTGTTCACACCAGGCCCCCAGAGTTATCCCAGCTCAGGTGTGGTGGGTGACCCATTGCCAGCAGGTTTGTTCTCCTCACTGCAGACAAATTTGACCTTTCCTACAAGTTGGTGGTTTGTGGTTACCTTTTAATGTAGCTCTCACTTCAGCTTTGCAGTTATTTTTAACCACTTGGGGTTTCTGGGCAAAATCCAGGCTGCTGTGACTAAACCCATGGCAGAACAGCAGCTGCACCATGGCACATTGGCTGCCAGCCTCCCTGGGGGCTCTGCCTGAGGTGCAGCAGGACAGGACACTGAAATCAGTGTTGCACTGAGAAATCAGGCTGGAGATCACTCAGGTTTGGGGGTTCTGGTAATTGGAGAAAGAGGTGGCCTGGAGGCTGCCCGGGATCCCAGGGCCAGGTTGGATGGGGTTTGGAGGAACCTGGGATAGTGGGAGGTGTCCCTGCCCATTATGGAGCTCCATGAAGAAACCTGCACTAAATGAGCTGCTTAATCAATTAAAAAGTAGCTTTGATTCTTAAAACAACTGACTTCTGATTGTACTTTTGTCAGTATCTTTAAAATATGGGGATAATTTATTCCCAAGCTGGAGTCAGAAGTGGGGCTGGGCTCTGAATGCTGCCGGCACTTCACAATGAAGTTAACAGCAGCAGCTGTGCTAATGAGTCAAACTTCAAGGAAAGACTTAATCTGAATTTCCAAGTGTTTCACACTTTGACCATATTCATTTTCATTTTAGGGTTTTCCTGGTTCTGAGGAAATTGCTTCAGTGACAGCAGATAGGGAGGGTTTGTTTTACCCCAGTAATGGGAGAAATCCTTATCTTGTAATTAACTTCCAGCTGGGGCTGCTTCATTAGAATTGGGCACGGGAACCACCTGCCAGAGGGGGCTGCAAAGCAGAGCAGATCAGCCCAGGTGTGTGCTGTAAACACAGCATGGGAGCTGCCAGGCAGGAAAACTGGGAAGGGAAAGCTGCTGAGGGAGGATTCTCTCCAAAACTGGTGAAGGGACCTTGAAGATCCAGGCTGTTCAGCTAAAATCCCCTTGGGGAGCATTGAAGTGACTCTCAGGCTCACCTCCAGCAGTACACCCCATGCTAAAGCATCCACCTTCTCCAGATCAATGTGTTTTAAAGGATTAATAATCTGAATTAACACCACCACCTGCCACATAAGAGTGTCTGCTCTAATATTCACACCTGCACATACAAGCACTTACAGACTCACTAATTCACAATGTGCAGCTGCTGGTTTTAATTTGAACCTTAACAAGTGGAATGAGGGAACAGAATTAAGGTGCCTGCAAAGCTCCTAATGATCCCTGCACAGGAATCCTGAGCTGTCCTCAGGACACTGTTAACTCCTTTGTCCATGTGCTGGGCTTTAGTAATGCCTCAAATTCTATTTATGGTGTTCGAGTAAGAAGCCCTAGAATATTCTAATCAAAGGTTTTATTAAATAATCCAGATGTTTGACCAGCATTCAGTAGGAACTGTATTGGCAAGTGCAATGGTAAGGAAAAGGCCCCTGATTGGCCGCCACTGTTGCTAATTGCTAATTGCTAATGATGTGTGTGCTAACCACTAACCCCCAGTGCCCTGCTGTGTGTGTCCCTGGCATGGCCAGACAGGGCTGCCCCTGCTGCATTAACCCACTAAGCCCTGGAGAGCAGAATGTGAAGCTCCTGGTGTCTCTGGCCACTGTCCCCCGTGCTGTGTCTGTGCACACACCCAGAGCTGCTGTGTCCGTGCAGAGGCTCCTGCTGTACCCGGTGTCACTCCCTGTCCTGTGCCACCAGTGCTCGTCCCGTGTCACAGCCCCGGGGGCTCAGGCTGCTGCCAGTGTCCCTGCCATGCCGAGGGTGGGGTGCGATGGGATTTAGGGTCCCTTCCAGCCCAGACCCTTCTGGGCTTGTGTGGCTGCAGCTCCTGCTCAGTGCCAGGCCAGAGCAGGGTCCCAAATCCCTGCAGCCTGGGGGGCTCAGGAGCAGGGCAGGCTGCACTCAGGGGCTGCTTCCCCCTCCTCCAGGTCATTCATTTAGCTCAGAAACCTTCAGCTGGAGCTGTTCTGCAGTAACTGCTGGGTTAACTTCAGGGTTTCATGTAGAGTTATGAGTCCCAGTCTCTCTAGGATGCCTGTCTGCACCTCCTGTGCTTGAAAACAAGGCATTTATTTGGATTTTTTGTTGATCTAAGTGATCTAAATTACTTCCCATGTGGAGCAGCTGCTGGACTGCAGTAAGGGATGTCATGGCACGTTATAAATCAGCTTTCCAAAGTCCTGACAAGATTTTCAGTTACCCTTTTTTGAGCTGCTGGGGATTTTTCTGGTCTGGTAATTCTAGCTGCCAGGGCAGTCAGTCACCAGAGATGCAGCGTTTTGTGGTCCTTTTTTGACATCTTGAATAAAATCCTCCGTTCTTCAGAAGAGGCAAAGACCATGACATGCCCTGTTCACACAGGAGACAGGTTTAATCTGCACTTGGTGTAAATAACTTCTGCCTCCTTCTGACACCATCCTTGTTGCTGTTGCTTCTCAGAGTCACAGGTGGTGTTCCCTGGTGGATGATTTAGGTGCCAGATTATTTTGCTGAGTGTTTTGACATGAAAGTGCAGAGTAGCTCTCCAGGGGCATTGGGGAATCTGATCCTAAATCAGCTCAGTGTCCTCGCTCCTTGAGGAAGAGGGGTTTGTGTTCCTGTGCCCAGGGTGTGTGGGAGGAGCAGTCTGAGCTGTTCAGTTGGGCCCAGCCCTGTGTGCCCAAGGGGCCAGCTCTGTCCCCAGAGCCCTCATTGATCTTTGCTTTCCCTTCTCTGCCCAAGGAGATGCCCAGGAAGCCCCGACTCAGTGAGCTGGCCCTGGCTCGGCTGCTAAACTTGCTGTTCCCTTTTTGTGCAGACTCTAATTGCAGTATTCCAGAGCCACCTCCAAACCCTCCTCCCGAGCCTCCTGCAGAGCTGGGCAGAGAGCTGCACACCCACCTGCTGCTGGACATTGACAATGACACGGAGAGCACGGCGCTGTGACCGCGCTGCGGCGCCGCCTTCCAGCTCCTGGCAACCCCAGACCGACCAGGGAAAGGCTTCTTCTGGCAGCGGGCACAGCTGGGCACAGCTGGCAGGGGGCCTCTGGCACTCAGCTCCAGGCTGGCACAGCTCAGAGCAGACCTGTCAGCAAATGGAGCCCAGCCTTTGGCCGGGTTTCGCCCTCAGAAGAAGTTTAATGATCTGGGTCTGGACAACGGTTTTCAAACTCTTGGATGGAAGGAATGAATTCCTGCAGGAGCTCGCCTAGGAAGCGTGGTCAGTGCTGATACAGGTGGTATGAGCAGAAATTCCAAAAGAATAAGAAGCAGAACGTTAGTTATTTAAAGTGCATGTCTGTATTAGGGAAATAATCCTTCTCACGGCACCGTTAGAGGTTCTTTGTAGTTCTTAGCCCGTCCCAGGAGCTGCCTCCAAGGGACATTGCCTCTCTCCCAAGGGACATCCCCTCTCTCCCAAGGGACATTCCCTCCCGGATTTGCTGCAGATTCCCCTCAAGCCATGAACCAAACCCTGCCCCAGTGCTGGTGGTGACTGCTGGTTCTCAGTCACCTGTGGAACTGTGGATGCATCCAGTGCCTTGAAGGACTGTCGTGCTGTAGGAGGAACTTCTGTCTCTTTAATCATTTCATTGCTACGTAGGAGCAGTACTTACCCTGATTTCATAGTTATTTGTATTAACCTGCTTTGTTCATGTGCAACTGGCAACTGTTTCACGAGGAAACCGTGGAAATGGGGTTTGTGCTTTTGTTGAAAACGGTTGAATTTTGAAAGAACTTTGAAACAGCTGTTTGGATTCAGAAGTTGAGTGAACATTTATAAAATTAAAGATTGTTTTTTGTCAACTTAAGGCATCTTTATTCTAGTTTTGTTGCTTCCACTGGGTCCTGAAGGTCACGGTGATCCCCTGCGCTGTGTAGCTTGGAGTCACTGGCTGCTCAGCTTGGTTTTGCCTTAAGGACCTCAGTGGGAGCACTGTGAGACCCTCCTTTGTTACCACACCAGCCCTGTAACAAATCTTTAACTCTAAATTCAGCTTGGAGAGCCACAGACTCCAGTGCTGTGACTGATTTTGATGTTTATCCCCCAGAGTGTCAGTGCCTCTCTCCCCCAGGGTTTCCAGCAGCAGTTCACAGGCTCAGGCAGGATCCCCCAGAGCCAATTCCCTTTGTGTGGTTTAACAGGAGGATTTCCTGGCTCTGTGGGCTGCTGCAGGTTCCCAGGTGCTCCTGCCTGCTCTCACTGTCACTGCCTGCACAGGGGGTGAGGTTTGCTGTGACCCTGCAGGATTTATTGAGTGCTGGAGAGGGGAGCAGGAGCCAGGGCAGCTGAGGGGCTCCAGGAGGAGCCTCCTCCAACCTGGCCATGGGGCCCAGAGCTCTTGGCAGCCCCCCAATCCCACAGACTCCAGGCAGGCAGGGACCAAAAATCTCACTCTTTAATGTTTCTCTGCAGCTGCACAAGGCCCAGGGCCAGGGATGGTGCCCAGGGCCAGGGATGGTGCCCAGCCCAGGGATCTCCACTGAGGCACTCCCTGAAAGGCTCTGGGTGCCCAGGCCATGAGGGGCTGGCCCTGGGCACCCCTGCCCTGGCACACCTGGTGGGTTTGGCTGGTGTAGGTCCTTCAGGTGCCCCCAGCAGCAGTTGTGGGGCGGTTTCCATGCTGGTGCTGGTGCTGCCATTGGAGTGTCAGTGGTGGTACCTCAGCCAGAGCTCCCAGACAGGTCCATGAGCACTCACTGCACACAGGGAAGGAGCTGAACGGGCACAGCTGAGCCAGAGGCACAGCAGAGCACAGAGAACAGCCCTGGGCTCTGCTCTGGGCACTCGAGGTGTCACTGCTGTCCCCCAAGGCCAGAGGAGCTGAACCAGAGGAGGACCCAAGGGGTCGTAGCTGGTTATCAAGGCATAAATAGGAAGAGATTCCAGGCTTCCTGAATTCCAGGCAGTGCTCTAAGGCCAAAGAGCAAAATTAAATATTTAAAATAACCAAACCAACCTTCCTCAGCTGGTTGGTGCCAGGTGGGGTCTGGCAGTGCCAGTGCCAAGCGCTCTGCCCAGGCACAGCCAGGCCCCCATTAGAAATAAGGAAAATATTATGTCTTTAAAATATCTTAAATAAAGAAATAAAATTTAGAAAGCATTAAGAATTACATTAACCCTCCACTAATCATTAATATTTACACCAGTTAGGATTAGATGGTGTGTGTGCCTGGCATCCCCCGGCTATGCAAAGTAGGCCCAGAGGAAGACCCCAGCACACACACAGAGCAGCAGGTTGATGTTCAGGATGTGCTTCACCAGGGGCTCCTCCTCCAGGGACACCACGGGCAGGGGCTCAGGCCTGGGCAGGGGCTCAGCCCCCTCCTGCCTGCGCTCCATGCCACAGAGCCACAGCACGGTGCTCAGCAGCTTGGAGCTGCCCTTGGCCTCGGCTGCACCTGCAACAGGAGGCGAGAGATGAGCCAGGAGTGCCTGGTGCTGCTGTGCAGGGCTTGGGGCACAAACACACCCCTGCTGTCACTGAGCACTCTGCACCCCTGCAGCTCTGAGCTCTGGTTCTGCCCTTCTGCAGCCATGGTAATGATAACCCAAACCTAAAACCCGAGCTGTAGGTGCTTGGTGCCCCCAGGTGAGTGCTGCTCTGGTCCATCCCTGCCACACCTGGAGCCTGCACTCCCCATGCCTTGGGACACATCATTCATTAATGCTGGAAGTGTGAGGCTGCCCAGCTGCAGGGGAGCTGCGCCATAACTCATTAACTCACTGCAGCCTGGCACAGATCAAAGGGACAGCAGCAAAGCTGACACACAAACAGGGCTGAGCCTGGCACAAACAGGGCATGGGAATCCTGGCAAAAACAGGGCATGGGAATCCTGGCTGCACTGCACGGGCAGCTCTGCACAGGGCTGTGCCCAATCCTGACAGGCACAAGCTTTAAAACAGGCACATCCTCCCTCACTGGTCTGCCAAGACCTCAGCCCAGGGCTCTGGGCTCTCCCTGCTGCTAGAGCTGATCGCAGAACACCGCTGGAAAATAGAGAGGGAATTTCATCAATGGTACTGTGTTTTCCTCCACCCTCCCCTTTTCCAGCCAGTTCTGGCAGCAGGTGCCACAGCACCAGTCTGGGATAGTGGCCATGGCTCTGTATCCCACCCAGCTCCATTTTTCAGCACTGAGAGCTGAAAAAGAAACTGAACTCTTGCCTAGGTACAGTGTCAGGTAAAGCCTTTTGGCCCTGGACAAGAGGAGATGGAGGTCAGAGCTCACTGTGCCCTGCAGCTCCAGCCCTGCTCTGGGACAGGGACAGCACTGGGGCTGGGCTGGGGATGTTTAGGTTGGATTTCAGGGAAAGGTTCTTCCCCCAGAGGGTGCTGGCACTGCCCACATCCCCAGGGAATGGGCACGGCCCCACCAAGCTCTGGGAGGGTTTAGACACCACTCCAGGGATGCCCAGGGTTTGGATCTGTGCAGGGACCGGGGTGCCCTGGGTGATCCTGGGGGTCCCTCTGGCTCAGCACATTCTGTAGTCTTTAATTCTGCGATTCTTTCAGCACACCCTGCAGCTCCAGAGCTCCAGAGGAAAGAGCTTTAATGTTCCCTGTCCTGCAGGCTGTTGGGAACACCCAGGGCTGTGCTCACTGACCTTTGCTGGAGTCGGGGCCGCTCTCAGGAGTGGGGCTCAGCTCCAGCTGCTCCTTGGTGGGGCCAGGCCCGGCTGCTGCTGCTGCCTCCTGCGCGGCCGGGGCATCCCCGCGGGTGAACCAGGTCAGCCGGCTGATCTGTGGCATCAAGGGGGCATCAGGGGGGCTGAGGGAACACAGGGGGGCCCATAACCCAGGAAAGTACTGAGGGCTGAGGGAACACAGGGGCCCATAACCCAGGAAGGCACTGAGGGCTAAGGGAACGCACAGAGGAGCCCATAACCCAGGAAAATGCATTGAGGGCTGAGGGAACACAGAGGGGCCCATAACCCAGGAAAGGATTTAGGGCTGAAAGAAACACAAAAGGGGGCCCATAACCCAAGAAAGCATTTAGGGCTAAGGGAGCACACAGGCAGGCCCATAACCCAGGAAGACATTTAGGGCTGAGGGAACACACAGGACACACACCCACCTGTTCGGGGGCTGGGGGCTCGGTGGCCAGGCTGACCAGGAGCACGGTGAGGCTGGTGACGGCCCCCAGCACCATGGAGAAGTAGAGGTAGTGCATGTGCCTGACCACGCCGGGCCGGGTGTCGGGCTGCCCGCACTGCGGCTCGGGGTAGATGAAATCCAGCACCAGGCGCACCCCACCCAGCAGCAGCCCCAGCAGCAGCCCCCAGAACGCGCCCTGGGGAGGAAAGGAGGGGATTCAGTGTTGGAGCAGCGCCCAGCAGGGCTGCAGGGCCTGCACAGCCCCGTTACCTTCTCGTTGGCTCTCCTCCAGAAGCAGCCCAGGATGAAGACCACGGCCACGGGCGGCTGCAGGTAGGAGCTGATGGACTGGATGTAGATGAAGAGCTGCCCCCCCTGGCCAGCCTGCACCAGGGGGATCCACAGGATGGACACCACGGTCAGCAGCAGCACAAACACCCTGCGGGACACACAGGGCCCTGCCTGTGAGATCAGGCCCTGCCACCATGAGATTGTCTGAAAAATCCTCCGTGCCCAGGACTGTCTCCTGGGAAGCTGAGAGGCCTCCAATAATTATCTGAATGCTTGGGAATGTGGGCTGGAGATTGTTTATCAACAGGTGCATCTTTGATTGGTTCCATGTGAATTGTTTTAATTAATGACCAATCACCATCAGCTGTGTTGGACTCTGAAGAGTCAGTCACAGTCTTTCATTATCATTCTTAAGCCTTCTGATGTATCCTTTCTCTTTCTTTTGTATAGTTTTAGAATAGCATTCTTTAATAAAATGTAATATATATAATAAAATAATAAATCATAGTCCATCCAGCTGTGCCTGGCACCAGGCTCTGCCCAGCCCACCCAGCTGTGCCCACCTGCCCACGACCATCAGCTCCCACTCGGAGCAGCGGGGCCGGAGGTGCTTCCAGAGGTCCATGGTGAAGATGGTGCTGGAGCTGTTGAAGATGGAGGTCAGGGAGGACATGAGGGCTGCAATCATCACGGACATCATCAGGCCCCTGAGCCCTGGAACGAGGAGAGGCAGAGCCACCCTGAGGAACCCTCAGAGGCTCCAGTGCAGGGCGGCCTCCAGGCCTTTTGTGGGCAGAACAGACTTTTAAATCTGGTTTAGCTCCAGTTTAAAATGACAATGGCAGGTTCATCCCACACAAGCCCCTCTAAATGACAGCCCCAGGCTTTTGCCTCTCTGAGCTCCTCTCCCAGGTGCCAACCCCACCATGGCAGAACCATCACCAGGCTCTTACCCACAGGCAGCAGCTCCAGCACCAGCTTGGGATAAGCAATGTCAGAACAGCCAGAGGGGTTGCCGCAGATTTTTTGGCAAATTTCTGGGTCTGCACAAGCCACCAGGTCTGGAAGAAGCAGTGGGCAGTGAGGGGCAGCAGTGCACAGTGTCTCTGAGCAGGCTCCTCTCTGAATGCTGTAAAATGTTCTTTCAAAGGGAAATACTGAGAGCCTGGGGGCTCCCAGCCAGTGACCCTGGGCTGGCTCAGCTCAGCGAGGGCTGGGGCTGCTCTGGCACCATCCAGCTCCTGACTGCACATTTAGGAAGGACATTTCCTCACGTTGGTGCATTGGAACCCCTCATCTGACTGAGAAAGGCTTCCCCAGCCCTGTGCAGCTGGCACAGCCTCAGGCAGGGGGAGATCTCTGAGATCCCTCCCTCAGCACTTACCTGGGAACAGAACCCGGCTGATCATGCCTGGCATTACCATCATAAAGAGGGGCAAAATCTTCAAGTAGGAGGTCATCAAGGAGCCTCCTTTGGCGTGGGAGAGGTTTTTGGCAGCGAGGGACCTCTGAACAATGACCTAGGAACGAAGGAATGGCTGTGGTTGGCCGCCAGCAGCAGGAGCTGCCTGGGATGGATCACCCTGGCTTTGATCTCCAGTGAACTCTGCGGGGCTCAGAGGGTGATCACAGAGCTTGGCCGTGCTCTGCAGCCCTTGCTCGGGATGCTGGCTCCTTCCAGAGACACAGGCACTGCTCTGTGCCCCTCCAGCCGTGCTGCAGGGCCTGACCTCACCTATCCATGCCCTGGTTTTCCATTTTCCTGCTCTGGGCCCTTCCCTGGCCCTGTAGAGGAGCCTGGCCCAGGAGCAGGACAGAGTTGGAGTGGGCAGAGTTAAATGAGAGTGCAGGAGGGCACAGCTGGAGCAGCAGGAGGGGTTTTGGGGCTCTGGTGGAGGGATGGGAGCCAGACCCGGGACAGGTGAGAGGAGAAACGCACAGGTGGCTCACAAGGAACAAAGGATCAAGTTAAAAAGCAAACAAACAAACAAAAGACTTCTTTATAGACAGGGATTAACACACAAACACGTTCTTACCCCTTTTTCCATGGAGATGATTACTAATATTTAGTTGTGAATATCAAGATTTCCTTCTTTAGGACTTAACCATCTGATTTTGCTGATGGTAAAATACGATTTTACTGATGAAAATCAGTATCAGGTGAAATAAGAAAATCATAAAATCAGTGCAGGTGAGGTGGCAGCCGCAAGGTTTGCAATGGGATGCAGCCAGGCCCAGGAGAAGGCAGGGACCCACCTGGTCTGTGCACCAGTACCACAGGGAGGGGATGGTCATTCCCACCAGGACCCCTGGCCAGGGCAGGTCCGAGCTGACGGGGTCTCTGAAGATGTGGAAAGCGTCTGCCCTGGGCAGCCCACAGCTGCTGTTCTCCTGCCGGATGCTGGGGATGGCACCAAAGTACTTTGCCTGCAAACCTTCCAGGCCACCGACTTCAATGAAACCTGGAACGGGGTCACGAGAAGCTGTTAGTGCATCCCCGCAGGTCAGGACTCTGATTGCAGCCTCTGTGGGGGATGCTCCAGGAGCATTCCTTGAAAATCAGCAGCTCTTGATTCTCCCTCTGGCTGGGGAAGGGCAGACACACTCACAGGTGCTGCCTGTGCTATGGAATCACAGAATCCTGCCATGGTTTGGGGTGAGAGAGACCCTAAATCCCATCTCATCCCACCCTGCCATGGCAGAGACACATCCCACTGCCCCAGATGCCCTCATCCCCAATGTCCAGGGCACTGCCAGGGATCCAGGGACAGCCCCAGCTGCTCTGGGCACCCTGTGCCAGGGCCTGCCCACCCTCCCAGAGAAGGATTTCTCCCCAGTATTTAACTCGGTGAGGTTTCTGTCACAGTGCAAGTGACAAAGGCCCAGGGAAGCACTCACTGAAGACCATGAGGGACACGGCCCCGATGAGCATGATGAGGGTCTGCAGGGCATCCGTGTAGATCACAGCTGCCAGGCCACCTGCAGGGCACAGGGACACGCTGGGTGAGCTGGGTTTGATACCCCACACACACTGGGTTTGTCCTGCCACACAAACTGGGGTGAGCTGGGTTTGATACCCCAAACAAACTGGGGTGAGCTGGGTTTGATACCCCCCACACACTGGGTGAGCTGGGTTTGTCCTGCCCCAGCACCTCACACCCTGCACAGGCTCCTGAGCACAAACTGAGCCCCAAACCCTGAGCCTGGCTGGGGGCAGCTTTGGCCAGTGGCCCTTTGGAATTCCTCAGGATCTGACTCATCGTGAGTCACCATTGTGTCACTGGAAGCCAAAAGCAGGAGTAATTCTACGGGAAACCCATGGAAAAGCTCTAAAACAAAGCCCAAGCTGGAAAAGGCAGAGGGAAAAAAGGGGATTGTGATTTTACATCAGTGGGGGTGAGCAGTGGGAAAGGAATAACCTTTATTTGTCTGTGTGGCTGTTTTCCATTTGGCCACTCCTAAGCCCTGAAAGGGCATCCAAGCCCAGAGTCTTTGTGCATTACACGGCTCATTGTGCTGCAAATCCCTCTCACCTCCGGAGAAACGGGGGAAATGTACCCTGGCAATGCCCTGCACAGCTTCTCCTTGGGGCACAGCACACCTGTACCCACCTGGGGCAGCCTCTGAGGAGCCTTCACTCACCCTCACCCGGCAATTTTCTCTAAAAAGGTGAATTTTCTATTGCCTTCCCAGCCCATGGCAAAACCAGGCTGGACATGGTGCATGGCATGAGCCACGGAGTCCTGGAATGGCTGGGTGGGAAGGGACCCTAAATCCCATCCAGTGCCAGCCCTGCCATGGCAGGGACACCTCCCACTGTCCCAGGGTGCTCCAGCCCCAATGTCCAGCCTGGCCTGGGGTGCTTGAACGTGTCAGATGGATGGGCAGGACAGGGGCAGGGGCAGGGTCAGTGCAGGGTCTGGGGCAGGTCAGGTCAGGTGAGGAGTGTCCCCAGCACCCACCAGACACGGTGTACACAGCAGTGATGGCCAGCAGCCCGGCCACGGCGATGTACAGGTCCCAGTGCAGGGCCTGCTGGATGAACAGGGCCCCGGCGTACATGTCCACCTGCAGGGACAGCAGAGTGACAGTGACACGCTGTGGGGACAGCACAGTGACTGTCACACACTGCAGGGACAGCACCCCCAGCCCCTCCCAGTGCACATTCACCCCCCCTTTCCTGGGACCAGCCTGGTTTGTTCATGGCCCCAGCGCCCCCAGCCCCAGCTCGTACTCCCACAGCACTGTCGCAAACATTGTTTATGAAATATCATTTCTTTAGAATTTTTCCCCCTGAGAAGCTGAGAAACCTCAGGAACAAAATGCAAACAATGGTTATCTGCTGCTGTGGAATGCAACAGGTGCATCTGGGATTGGTCTCATGTGGTTGTTTGTAATTAATGGCCAATCACAGTCAGCTGGCTCAGACTCTGTCTGAGCCACAAACTTTT